GAGAGAGAGAGAGAGAGAGAGAGAGAGAGAGAGTATTGTTTATTAAAGTGTCACATGTTATATACACTTCGTGATAAGATACATACAAAACAGTAAAATATAACATCCGGCAAAATGTGACCTACGATTCATCATTGTTAGGTCGGCAGGTAGGTGCGAACTTCAATCCTTTGGACATGACTTTGATGTTGACTTTGGTTGCTTAGGTTCTTACCGCTCTGCCTTCTCCAAATTTAGATCAGGTACTGCTCCTCTGAAGTTGGAAACAGGCAGATATACGAATATGAATGTGAATGAAAGAGTGTGTTTTCAGTGTAAGGAAAAAATTGAAGATGAATGTCATGTACTGCTGGAGTGCCCTGTGTACGATGATTTGCGTGAAAGTTTATACGAAAAGGTGAGTTTTAGCTATCCCAACTTTCTAGAGTTATGCAATACTGATAAACTTATTGTACTTTTTAAATATTATGTATATTTTACAGCCAAAACCTACTTTTTAATTCTCCAACGAAGAAAAAATATTTTCTATGGCTAGTGACGGGTATCATATTTTCATACCCCTTTTACACCAATATATTTATGCTGTACATACTGTGATATATTTTAAGTCTCTCGTAACCCTTAACGGGTGGCTCACTTTTATGTCCTTTTATATGTATTTATGTAATTATTTTTGTGAGGTGAGACTCAAATAAACAATCTGTCTGTCTGTCTGTCTGTCTACATACGGACATGGCAGCTGGCACAAAGGCCATTACTATCACATTCAACGCCAATCATCCGAAACGTACTAGGACACAGCCCGAGACACGCCGACTTGATCAACCATGCCGGCAAAACCAGGTCAACCAAACAGCTCAAGCCCTCGCCCTGGATGTTGAAAACGTAAATATGGACATTGCACCTGTAACTTCTACCACTGCTACCCCTGAACACTTGGTAATTCAAACTCCTGATGCTGAACCATCCCCCAATCCTTTTAGTAGCCCCCCCCCCCCCCCCCCCCCCACCCCCCTCCCCTCCCCCTACCTCATTCGACCACTCCCAATGACCAATCTACCCAGGTCAAAAAACCAAAACGCTTAACACCCACTCACCACCCTCTTCTAGAAAAGACCACACAAACTATAGATTACTCCCCCTCTCACACTGTCTGTTTAGACGCTATCACCCAAACTGACCAGCCAATAATTCCCTCTCCCCCCACGACTCCTGTCAAAGAGACCACCACCACTAATGAGACTGGTACCTCCCCCAGCCCTACCCCTCTCTATCAGAATCTCAAATCCAAACTGACCCCATCCCTACCACTTACATTATTGAACATCAGCTCACCACAGATCTTACCCAATGCGCAGCACAAATACTAACTGATCATTACCTTCTCCCAAACCCCTTCACGCTCCAAGCCCCCAGTAACCGTGGTTACAAAAGCATCCAGGAACGCCCCAAATTCACGGCATTCCAATTTATCGAACAAGAAAGATTCGAGCATGAAATCACCAGCCTCTACGACCTTAACTCACTCCTAACAGATATCCAGGACCAGGGCCTACAACTCACCCCACAGTTTATACAAAACACTGCTGCTCATTGTATCACCAAATCTTTTCATCCCCTGTCAGGCCATGACTACACAATAGCTAAACACCTCTTGGCGGGCACTCTGGTCCCCGGCACCTAAAAACAGATATACCAGCTAAATAGGACAATGCCCACCATATCCGCCTTACCGCCCTCCTCAGCAACAATTATTACTATGTACCATGTACAATTATCACCTTAATCATATTCTTTAGAACCTCCCAAGTAAACCCACTAAATGAACGGAGCTTCAGTGCCGAATTCGGTTTTCGATTACCACGCAGATGAAATGAAAAATTATTTTTAGATTGATGTTTTTTTCATGTCATAGTTACTTTAATTTTGAACATTTTTTTGCATAAAGGGCAAAATTAAAGGACAGTTCTTTTTGTAAACGATCACTATGTATTACAGGTCTGGGCAATTTTATCCAGATGTACCGGGATGCCATATAGACCTAGGCCTTTTAGCCTATATCGATCGGAAATCTTATACCGATGTATGGTATCTGTATCGATCGGATTGAAGTGTGATCATGCAGTTTCATTTCGAGATATGGATATTTCAGGATCGATTATTAGTTCATATTTAGCCGATAATGACGACCAGAGAGTTAAGGTAAAACTTAATAATTAATTTTTAATTAGGTTTATACCAGAACGGCTTCTACCGTACAGTTTTCCCCGACCTTGGGGAGACGTACGGTAGTCTTATCAGGTTAGGAAATTTATGTACATTTATGATGAAATACTGAATAAAATAGTTTTAAAAAACTATTTGCAGAGTACTATTTCAAAGGTGATTGATGATTAATATATACTGAACGGCAAAAGAAACGTCACCATGGATAGATATATGAGAAACCTTACTTGTCCAAACACTGTAAACATACTTTGAGACATATTAAAAAGATGAAACTTGGCAAAACTGATCATCAAGGTTGAAGTTAAAGTGTCAAATGTTCTTAATGTGAAACACAATACTAGTCTCTGAGGAAATGGCATCACAAGTCAGTATCTCGCGTGTCCGCCATGTGCATTGATGACTGCCGTGCAACGTCGGTATATGGAATGGATGAGGCGGTTGATGAAGGCCATAGGCACTTGAGCCCACACTCTGAGGAACGCCTGGAGCAGTTCAGCTGCAGTTGTCGGCCTTGGTCGGACATCATTATACCGTCTTTGAATCTCGTCCCACAGATGCTCCATGGGATTTAAATCGGGACTGAGGGCAGGCCACTGCATGGTTCTGATGCCATTCTGCTGGAGGAAGTCTCTTGTTGCTTTCGCAGTGTGGGCACGGGCGTTATCATGCTCTAAACTCGTGGTTGCAGCGACGGGCCAAATGAGGTATGGCGTGTGGTCTCAAGACTTGATCAATGTACCGAGCTGCTGTGACACCATTGCGTGTCCCTGGACTGATGTTCTGGAAGACCACAGAGCCCACCCTCTGTGCAAGACCAATTCCACCCCACACCATGATGCCCGGACCATCCCTAGGGTCTCTCTCAACAACACAAGCATCCGAATAACGTTCCCCACGGCGTCGCCAGACTCTCTCCCTGCCATCTGCTGTTGAGATACAGTAACGGCTCTCGTATGAGAAGAGGACTCTCCTCAACTGCTAGAGGCGCCAATGCTGGTGCTGTGTTGCCCACTGAAGACGGTCCCGGCGATGACGTGGTGTCAGAATTGGTCCTCGGTGTGGCCTGTGACAGTGGAGGTGTCTGTTCGTCAATCGTCGACGCACGGTGTCCGCACTAATGTGTCGCTAGTGTGTCCCCGTGGTCTGTGGAGCAGTTTCCGCAGCAGTAACAAAGGGATTTTTAAGATGCTGTCGCACGATCTCATGATCCTGACGTCGGGTGGTGATCCTTGTTCTCCCACTACGTGGTCGGTCATCTGTAATGTTGGTGGTCTGGTACCGTTGCTGGAGCCTGTATATGGTCCTTACGTGCATTGGCAACTTACCGGGCGGTTTGTCCAGCCTGCAATCATCCAAGGGTTTGGTGTCGCTGATTTCTTCTCAATCTTGGCATGTGGTTGCAATTAAATTACGAATGAATGATATACGACCTGGGTGGATTTTTATAGGGCAAGAAATGGGAGAAAAGCATGTGCATTTCAATTTGCACGGAACTCACGTGCATCGGGTTAACATGGCCATTGCCGTGATGCGTTTGGGCGATCGGTTTTATTGTCATCTACTTTGGTTTTTTATCATCAAATTTCATTTTTCCGGACAAGGTAATGTTAACCTTTAGAAACAAAATTACCCAGATATTTAAATGGCAACTTTTCATGCAATGGTACTTAGGGTGACGTTTCTTTTGCGGTTCAGCATATATTACAAGACAATTAAACATCCCATTTATCTAATCAAAATTCAAATTAATGGTAAAATTTTGATGAGGAAAAAAAGATACTGCAGTACCGATTTTTCAGGTCATTATCCATTGTAGAAAAACACATTCCACTTCCAGAGTCCTGTTTCAAATTTTATTTATTCTAACTAAAGATATATTATTTCAGTTTATCATGGGCCCTTTTCATATGTTTACCAGCAATTTAATTTCTCATAAAATTACTTGTCCCCAATATTTTTATGCTATATTTTGCACACAAGTGTTTGTAATGTGTACATACCTTTGTATCTGATCTTTTAATGATAAACATTTGTTGGCACTTTTGCTTTACCACGATATAATCTACATATATAATGTATCATATAATAAATGAAATCTGTTTTGTGGTAACCAGACTTCAGACTTCACAGATTTGTACAATGTTATGTCATTATGGGGATTGTCTCACTGCTTTTTAATGGATGGCTATGGCTATTTTCCAAAAGTAAAAGTATTTCTGCTTCAAGGCTCCAGACAAGGACTGTATGTACAAATGCAAATATGTGAGATAAGATGTATGAATTAAGGAAAGCACCTGCTATCTACGTTATGGCCAAAGCTTTATTTAAATGTAACTTTAATATTTTGAGCAATATTCCCCCAAACGTCATTTACATCATCATGATCATAGCAATGCTCACTGCCGCTACATAAACTTCAGAATATCTTATAAAATCCATTATATTCTTATAGACACAGTTATGAGACACAGGAGGTCTCACACGCTCTCCACCTTGGTGAAACCCACGAGCACGGGTATGGTGCTGTAGACACATAATCGGGGCGAAACGGGATTCGAACCCACAATCATAGGTTCCTGGCGTGCCCAAGGGACGCAACTTAGACGACGGGGCCACCCGTCCCCCGCTGCTTCAGATTGAGCAATATGGGAAGATCTGGAATGACCGGCAGATATTGTATCGGTGTCGGGGATCAAACCCAAAAGTTTGGCACCATGAGCAACTCTGCTACCCTACTATTGTACATGGAAACAAAACAAGCCAACATTTGGAATAAAAAAATAGTTTACTCTTGGGTGACATTGCTTGAACATGAACATGAATTAATTTTACATGTATTATAATTATTATACACATTTCTAATAGTTATTAATGAATCACATAAAACCACATGGAAAACGAAAGCGAGAACACATTCTGTAGGATAAAGAAATCGATTTTAACGACAACCATCATCTGCTCTTTATATTCGCGAAGAGGGTTGCCTCCCTTTAGGTGAAGACAATTTTAAAGCTTCTATCCATCACAGTATCATTGCTGTACATTTTTAATTTATTGATGCATGAGTGAGCGGGCTAGTGATACAATATCGCCCCCGGGCACAACTGCAAATATATGTTTCATCCATTCCTCCACAATGGAGCCATGTGGCCCTGCGAAACATGCTCAGCAAAGAGTGACTGGGGAGTTTGATTTAAAGTCGCTTCGAACGTTATTTCAGTTATAATACGGTTGTCAGTTTGATGTGGGAGGAAAGTGAATGCATCTCACAAAAGTTTGGTAAAACCAATTAGTGTGGGTATGGATCAACAAATTAGGAATTATAATCAGGATTCGAACCCATAGCATTCTGGCCCGCCAAAGGGACGCAACTCTGCACGACGAATAGCGGAGTCTTCGACAGCTGAGACACCTGTGTTCTAATGTGTAATGAGAAATATTGATAATATATGATATAATATATACTATATATTGTTTAGTCCGTTGCATCAGAAAATGATGCAGAACTCAATCACCCCAAGATGACTGCAGCTGCGTTTTACATGAGCCACCATATACCTCTGTTGTAGCAAAGCCATTGTATGTTTTATACGTGATGGCGCTCAATGACAAAAGACTCATACAAGACAATTGGACAGCAATGTTCAAGGCAACCTACAGTATTCAAGGCTACTGAGATCAATTCCTTTTTAAGATCAACAGAATCAGAAATTCAAAATAACCATATTGTCTTCATCCCGAGTAGTCCTCATGCACTGAGTGAGTGAGAATGGTTTTACGCCGCTTTTAGCAATATTCCAGCAATATCACGGCGGCGGACACCAGAAATGGGCTTCACACATTGTACCAATGTCGGGAATCGAACCCGGGTCTGTGGCGTGACGAGCGAACGCTTTAACCACTAGGCTACCCGACAGCCCCCTCATGCACTGAAGCACAGTAACCTACGCTAAACATGCATGGGCACTAAATGTACCAACGTTGAACAAGCCTTCGCTCGGTACGACTCAAGCAGCTTGTTTACATTTTTCCTGGTGTTTCGTTAAAGAGGATTTAACCTTGTACTCCTTTCCACAGGGACACTGAAACCGAAACCCACGGTGCTCCTTGTTAAAGTGATCCTTGGTTGAGTTCCTGCTCCTGAAGGCATGTTCACACATTGGGCAGCGATACAGTCTGTAATGGAACGCCAAATCATTGCAGTCAGTCAGTACAAATTAAAGGTAGTCATCGAGTTACACTCAAAGACTGGAAGACCTAAAGTTACGCGTGACCTAAATACGTCACAATAGAATTCACTTTCTGCAAACGTATACAGTCTGTAATGGAAAGCCAAATTATTGCAAACAGTCAGTACAAATTAAAGATAGTCATCGAGTTACACCCAAAGGCTGGAAGACCTAAAGTTACGCGTGACCTAAATACGTCACAATAGAATTCACTTTCTGCAAACGTATACAGTCTGTAATGGAACGCCAAATTATTGCAGTCAGTCAGTACAAATTAAAGGTAGTCATCGAGTTACACTCAAAGACTGGAAGACCTAAAGTTACGCGTGACCTAAATACGTCACAATAGAATTCACTTTCTGCAAACGTATACAGTCTGTAATGGAACGCCAAATTATTGCAGTCAGTCAGTACAAATTAAAGATAGTCATCGGGTTACACCCAAAGACTGGAAGACCTAAAGAAACGCGTGACCTAAATACGTCACAGTGGACTCTTTCTGTCTTCATGTCAGCAGTACAATGTGTGACCGACCAGGGGAAAAGGGACCTTATGGGTGCTAGGAAACAATTGTGCTGTGACGTCAAAAAGAAAGACATTTGACGTGCGGACTGTACAAAACGATCTTATTTCTCTCACGTTAGTTCGTAATGTCATGAAAACATTATTTCAAAAGATTTCAGCATACCCGTTAATTAATCAGACATAATATCTAAAAAGTGCAATTATTACATCAACACTTTAACACTTATAAGTCTGAAAATGAGACTTTGCAAAAAATGATCATGAGTCTAAATGCTTAATGCCATGTTTCGCTGTAATAACCATAAATTGAAGCTTGTGAATTGTATTTTTGTGTTCCTGAGATAGCGTAGTTTTCAAATATTATAATGGATCTCATGGATGGTCACTTAGTTTGATAAGACGTGTCTCGCAGAACAAACAATTCCAGTAAACGTTTCACTGTCCTGATCCATGAGTGCTTTTACACATATCCCTCACCAATGCTCTTTATGAAATAAGGCAGGGCGGGACAACTTAGGAATGGCCAGGAGTCCGAACTTGACCACACAGAAGGAAGCGAGCTACAAAAACATGTTTTATATCATTGGAAAGCTCTCGAGGAGTCGAATCCAAATAATGTGTGTCCCAGTGTGTTCACATGTTCACAAGCTCAAAAATTGGCTCAGAAAATGCATAACTGCAGAAATTTCTGGCCCAATTTTTTTTTTCTGCAGAGATTTCTGGCAGTATTTTTTTTTCTACAGAAATTTCTGGCAGAATTATTTTTTTCTACAGAAATTTCTGGCAGAATTTTTTTCGGCAGTAATTTCAACCATCAATCTTTGGAAAGTTTGAATTGAATTCAGCAATTGAAGATATTTATCTTGGTATTATATTTACCAAATTTATCAAGAAAAGTTGACGTCACTTGAATTAAACAATGGAACAACATGTTGGCCTCATACCTTTGTATACTAGACAGATGCAAATCATTGAACCTTGAGCTTACCCTATTATAATTATCTAAATTATTATGAGAATTTCAGTGACCATCTTCAATGGCCTTTTGACGACTTTGAAGTGTACAACATTAAAGGTGAATGTGATTCTCAGAAATTTCTGGCAGTATTTTTTTTTTCTACAGAAATTTCTGGCAGAATTATTTTTTTCTACAGAAATTTCTGGCAGATTTTTTTTCTGCAGTAATTTCAACCATCAATCTTTGGAAAGTTTAAATTGAATTCAGCAATTGAAGATATTTATCTTGGTGTTATATTTACCAAATTTATCAAGAAAAGTTGACGTCACTCGAATTAAACAATGGAACAACTTGTTGGCCTCATACCTTTGTATACTAGACAGATGCAAATCATTGAACCTTGAGCTTACCCTATAATTATCTAAATTATTATGAGAATTTCAGTGACCATCTTCAATGGCCTTTTGACGACTTTGAAGTGTACAACATTAAAGGTGAATGTGATTCTCAAAAAATAAATTTTATAATTATTCCATGGGGCCAACCAAATATATAATCCCCAGTTGGAATTCAAAGAAACAACCTACATGTGATATACGGTACTCTGAAAGTAGGTTAACTTCAGACATGGAAAAAAATAGCACACAACCAAGATTTTACAATATAACTGCATATATTGTTTCATAAATTTCATTGTGCACATCTCATCTTATATATGTATATATATATACAATTCTAAATACACAGCTTTACTAAGGAACAAAAACATACAAAGTACAAAACTCCTGCAATGCAATCCTCGGCAATATCTCAGCCACATAGCTTAGACAAAAAATATGTTCATTTCAGCAAAACTTGCTGCTCCTTCTTTATTGTTCTGATACTGACGCTTGTCTTCGGTGCTTTGTCAGAGTGATCTGAAAGTAAAAAAAAAAAGGTAAAGAATATGAGAACATAATTAAAATCACAGTGCATCTATACAATAAAAGCAAAAATAGTAACCTCATGAAGTTTGGTTGTTTCTCTGCCCACATTACACATATTCTAAGTAACGCTGACTAACCCTAATATTACACATCACAATACATATTTCAAAAGAAATGCAATATTTATTGAAATTACCTTTGATTGTTTTTGCAGTTTTTCATTGTTCTTCTCTATTGCCTCTTGAACTTTAGTTGGGAGGGTTGTCGCTTCCCTTGGGGCAGGCATGAACGGCTTGAAGTCTGATAGCTTGGTGGTGGGTGTCCGGATGTCCCCAATCTTGAAGGAGGGCATCGCGGGTTGTTGCAGGCTTCTGTCTAAGTTCCCTTGCAAATACACTAAACGGTTGATCCACATCTTCATGCGTGTGCCCCACCATGAGAAAGAAAGTTTCACCTGAAAATAGTATTTACATCAGTATTATCACTATGAAAACAAATCAAATTGTACAAAACTTGTTTATTTTTACAGAATACTGATTTGAGTATTGAGAATATTGAGAGAAAAATCAATCTTGTGCATTTAAAAAGTTTCAACATTGTGTGCAGATTCTTTAATACTTAGGATGAGCAACTGGACATGAAATACTTGCTTCAAAACAATTCTAATGTGGTTTAAAACAATTTACATAAATTATAAAAATATTAACCACATGTGACTTCAGCATTTACTTTGAATTGTATAGTATAGCATCAAGGAATAAATATGCTATACATGATATTGTATGTGGAGTCATATACCAATAATTTCATTGATAACTATCTTCATGATAGCACTAAAAGTGATACCTTGGATTGCAGCGTCCACTTTTTGACTGGCCGACAAAGTCTTGCAGCTTTACTGGTCCTGGAAATGTCAAATAAATATTTGAACAATACATAAATTGCAACTTAAATGTAATTGGATAGTCATACAAATATAACAATTGCCAATTTCCATTCTCAAAAATCCACAATTCCTCCAAAATTAGACAAGCCTACCAGACAAACATTGAATTTATTCAACAGGCCCGTACCAAGCATTTAGCTAAGACAAAGATAAATTTCTATCCTTCTAAACGTGTGTTACAAATATAATGTACAAACAAATGTCTTGACATACATGGCACGATCCCATTATAAAACAAATCCCATTACATCCTTTACTAATAATATTGGACAAACTACAATAACGTAACCCATATATGTGCACTGAGGATACTAAGCTCCACTGGTTTCTAAATAAGAATCTACATAACTCCCTACCAATAGGATATGTAGACAGTAATATATGTTTTGGTTTGGTTTGTTGTTTACTGCCGCATTCAGCAATATTCCACCTATATGACAGCGGTCTGTAATTAATCGAATCTGGACCAGACATTTCAGAGATTCATATCATGAGCATCAATGCAGGTCAGCGAGCCTGACCACGCAATACTGTTAGTCGCCTCTTCAGACAAGCATAGAATTCACTGGAAACTGGAAAGGAAATATCACAAAAAGACATGTTGTGCTTGGATACCAATTACACAATAATGACCCATTAAATCTTGGGATTAGTGCACTTTACCGGGCGCACTTCTTCAGATCCAATTAGCGCTGTTGGGGCTCGAACGCGCTTCGCCGACTCACCGACTCTCTTTATTAATGCGTTAAATTAGCCGACGCTCTACCACTGGACCACAGGCGCTATCACATGTAATCAGTGCTCGTTTAACAGGTCATTAGAATCACCATTGACATGCATGTGTAATTCAGAAAACAATGAATTGCGCATGCGTGTGACGTCACGGCCCGCTCTCCCATTCATCTTTTCTTGAAACCACACCCGCAATTGTTTATGTCAACAACCAATGGGATTAACTGAATTAACGCTTGAAAAAGTAAGAATTTATGGCTAACCCTTGCCCAAAGCCAGCTAACCCTAATGACCCAAAAACGGGTGTTTGATCGTAAAGACGTGTAAGTTTCCCTAAGACCTAGAACGGGTGTTTGATCGTAAAGATGTGTAAGTTTCCCTAAGACCGAGAACGGGTGTTTGATTGTAAAGATGTGTAAGTTTCCCTAAGACCGAAAACGGGTGTTGGATCGTGAAGCGAGAGTCACCAGAGCGTGAGGCACGGTAACGGTATAACGAGACAGCGTGGCACTATAGCGCGGTAATTGAGCGGATGGTAGAGCTCGGGCTGCGCCCGGTAAACTGCATTGTTACCTTACGCTTTGTGGGACATAATTTCACTGTGTGCGTAATTTGTTTGCAAATACCGTTAAGACTTGACCAATTAAATTCGAAATATATCTTTTTGAAACATGTCTAACTTGTTATATACGTTTTTGAACACGAAGTTACCCATTATCGAAATGTATGTCTGCTTGGCTTGTTTATGCTTCTGTTATCGACGTGCGCAATTTGTAAACATTCAGATACAAAACTGCGTCTGTAACAATGGGTCTCGTCATCACCACGTGGAACCCCATGTGTCCGGTTCAAACAGTCTAGGTTATGAAATATGATCACATGGTGTTTTACATGTCATTAATAATTGAATGTTAATGTGAAAGGGAATATACATTCTGTCGTGAGTGGAAATAATAGCTACATTATTCATTTTCATTTCTTGAAATGAATCAAATCACAATGACTGGCAAAATCTCAACTTCGCGGAAAGGGTGATGCAATTGTATTATAACCCCATGTAGATCTCTTCGTGGGATAAGCCTTGATGTTGTGTTAGAGCGTGTTTATATGATCAATACCCAGAGCCTTATAAACGTATACATTTATCGATTTGAATTAAGATGATGCAATTCTTGTAACCTTGGCAACACCATGCTTCACTTGAAAACAATATTTTTTGTTATTCCTGTGCGGAAAATGTGTGATAAACCCGATGATTGTGTTGACCTTTACTCGAAATCTCTGTATATGTGGCTTGTTGATAAAGTAGCAAGGATGGAATAGCGCGAACCAGAAACATGACCTGTCTTTGGTCCAAGCGCGAACTGAGGGACCCCGTTTTCCCGCCTTTTGCCCGAGGGTAACGTTCGATACACTGGGGCACTAGGTCATTGCCTTGGGGAAGGCATAATTCCACCCGTCACGGGAGGTGGAGGAATGGCTGTTCTCTGAAGCGAAATCTGGGACTTCATTTATGTTTCAGGTCACGATATGGGACAGTTCAGAACGATGTTCCAGTCATCTGACGCTGGTGTGCGAGAATACGACATGGGCGGCACGCTAGCTCCGGTCATATGAAGCTCGTGCACGATGGTTGAATTGTATAGTTTACTGTACAGAGGTTCCTCATAATACAGGGTACAAGCATACTACATGTGATATATATTTGCTACATTAGATGTGCGAGCATACGTCTGTATAGTGTATATGTAGACTGACGAAGATTATTAACACTTGAATTTCTCCTCAAACAGTAAATACTTTGGTCCAAAGTTGATCCATACGTCTTTAAAAGACGCACTCTACTCATGTCACAAAGTTATCAAAAACGCATAGAGTCTGATGTCTTTCTTTTAGGCCCAAGAATATTCATTTTATAAAACATTCACCCTATTCCATTCTTAGGCCCTCTCAACTTTGCAGCTTGTATTCCTTCCCCATTTTCAGATGAGACTTGACTGTTCATTTTATAAAATATTTTACCTTACACATAACTTTATTTCGGGGACTATATCTTGGTCTAAGTTGTCATCGGTTTACCAAACAAGAGAAGGCGGCGCACCCTCTCAGTCTTGGTATCTCCGGAGGTGTTCAGTTATTTCAAAATAACCACGCAGACCGGATGTTAAATTATTTACATCATTAAACACGGGAATACGCACACACACACACACACACACACACACACACACACACACACACACACACACACACACACACACACACAACAAAAAACACACACAAACACTTCTATTGACCCATGTATCCAACGTGGTCACGTATATATTTTGTTTGTGTACATCTTCCTATTCCTGTGCTTCAAATCTAGTTTGATTTTTTAGATATATTAGTTTAAATAGATAGAGTTTTAATCGACACAATTTACAATATATAAAAATGAAACATCGAGGCCTTTGAGACGTTTTGAGATAACTTCATGTTGGGAACAATCAAAACGGATTCACTAATTCAAATAAAGATAATTTCAAAATTTATTGATTTAAAAATGATATATTTCCTAACTCAGATGTGGACAGAAGACAACAAAATGATGTGATGAAAGATCCGCTACAATACTTTCTAAGAACAATGGCCATGACAGACTTGCCACGTGGTGGTTTTGAAAACATTACGCATAACATACGTATATCTTAATCTTTGCACAGCTATTTCAGGAATTGTGTAGCTATCTGCTTGAGTGCGTGTTCAACATTTCCATGGACAAGAATTACCACTCCTTTACCTCTTATCACGATATGTTAAATCTGGCCAGGCGAGTAAAATAAATAGTTTGCTTATCAAGGAAAGGTGTAGCCTAAGGTTATACTGGAATCATTCATACCCGTTACAAAGCGTTAGTGCAGGCCTCCTCGAGGCGCTCAACCATAATATTGACAACGGAAAGTTTGTATACATCCTGCTTTGTTTACCAACAATCGTATCTAGGTAGGCATATACAAAGCCACTCCCCCTAACACCCGTTCCCCGCCTTTCCGGGGTTTCACCGTTGACAGTTTGTTTGAATCTGATTGGTCAGTCGGCTAAAGGACTTCCTTGAATGGGCGCTTAATTCCGCGAATCTGAGAGTGTTTCCTTTCAGGGTTATGATCCCGGTTGTAAATCCGGGTTTGATCGTTAAACCAGGTTATTTATTAAATGGATTTTTGAAAGCCATGACAACTGATTTGCTTTTATCTGGATACAGGTCGAAATGATGATGTCATGATTGAATTTAAGACCCAAGGGACACGTTACTTAGAACGGTGTGAACACGGATGTTATTTAAACATCAAATGGTTACAAGCTTTGTTTGTAAACATGTGCGTTGTGAATAAATGTGGCGAGAAATGTAAGGGATTTCATGTACATACGTTTGTATTAGATTGTTTATGAGACTGTGCCATACCTTCTGCTTACTGAACACAACCAGACTTAATTATCGTGACGACTTTGAAGAGATTATGTTTTCAGCACAGGGACGTCATAATTGGTTAGTCACGACTCTATTTATACACGAGCAAATCGGGATGTCATGGTATACCCTTTTGTGTATACATAAGGATACAAATGGTGACACGATTTTGGAGTCATCTCCGTTAAATCTATTCAATGTATGTACTAGTTGCACTCATAAGTGTTGACATTTGTTTTTCATCTCATTGGATCAGAGAGGGAAGTTTTGATGGCAGAGCGGTTAGGGGTTCATCACTCCGTCAAATCGGGTTCGAATCTCAACATAGGAATAACATGTCTTGCTTTTTTCTGGTATTTTTATTAGCAGGGTAAAACCACTCACAGTTTAGATTGCTGGCTTAATATACCAGACCAAGAAGTGTTTGTTGGTATCATATTGGTTGGTTTTTTGTGTCTACAGGATGTATGTATGTCTGTATATATGTATATAGAAGAAGAAGAAGAAGAAGAAGAAGAATATGTATTGTACATAAACATCCACAGGGGGCAGGGTACAAAACATGAACATGACTAATTAAAACATTAACATACAAAAAAGAATACACATGTTGCTATGATTATATTGTTAGGGAGGAGATGCAGATTTTCTTTGCCTGAACATTTTGTGAATGAAATTAGAGATAATTTATATATGTATATATGAATCATAATATTTTGTTATTTAAACAAATTGCATCTGTCCCGTAATGGAATTTCTCTGCAATAAATATTTTCTTAACTTATTGCAAATATTCTTAACATTTCACGTTATGTAATGCCCTGTCTTGACACCACAATACGGAAATATTCTAAATTTCTAAAATGACATGTGAGGTGTTAGGTTGAGTTATGACCTCTCTGGTACATACTTAAGGATCCCCACCCATCTGAATCCAATCTATTTTTGTACTGAGTCTCGTCTAATCTGTTAAAAATCTATCCTTAAGTAATAGGCAAGTCTAGATAAGCGGACAGTAATTATGGACGCCAGTCATTTACTAGTCTGTCTTACAGACCCTGATACAAATATATATCAAATACAGCCCATGCAAGTCTATAATGTTTAGCAAGTCTAGATTACTGCAGTCTGAAAATGAAGAGAGTCACTGGGCTCCCTTTTATTATATTTTTATTAAGATTACTGAACAACTGTTGTTTTTTCTGTACGATATGTTCATTTCAGAGACTAGATGTTAGTCCAGTCATTTACAGGAACAGTTTGTTCTTATTAGTTCTATTATCTTGGAAGTATGATTTAAACTAATAATTATTGCCCTGGAGACTTGTGCAAGTCTATTGACGTATCTACATACGACATTTTACACGTTTGAAATAAATGCTACTGTTTTAATCTGTAATCGATTGAGGTATTCTCAGCACGAGTAACACAGTATTGTTCCTTTTGTATTCAGAAAAGGAATGATGGATGTACACCTGAGTGGCCTGGTCATGGCCATTAAGTGGGTTGGATACTTTATGGCGCGTAAATATTTATGTTGTAGCGGGCCAAATGAGGATTGTTGGTGATCGATGGACGATACGTTTATGTGACGTTGCATTTATTCTGACGGTGTTGTTGGTCGGCACAGGAAGAACTCAGTTGACCATGTGACATTTTGGGAAGATACCTTACTCCGAAGTGATATGTAAACATTAAGAAAACTGTGATACTGATTATCACAATACTGATTTCCAGGAGTGGGTGGGTGGGTGGGTGAGTGTTTCGGCCACTGCGCGTTACAGTCATGCTAATACATGTAAGTTTAATTTGGAGAATATCCTGATGTGACTTGATGCTGATTTTGACCCAAGGAATCCAACTGACCGGATCGCCACAAAGACACAGAGAGTGCCTCCACCACCTTATGCCACACAGAGAGCTCGATATATTGAACAACACTCATGTGTGGCCATATCGCATATCTACACTACACCAGACTGTGGAGAGGGGGTGGGGTGGTCTTCAGGGAGTTACACAAGCGACACGTACATCGGTGCTGAGTGGGAAGTGCTCGCTCGCCACGTTGGCTCAAAACCGCCCCACGACACAGTATTACTGTCCCGTGAAGATTTCGGGTCAGAATAGGTCTTCAGCAACCTAAGAGGCGACTTATGGGATTGGGTGGTCAGACTCGCTGATTTGGTTGATGCATGTCATCGTATCCCAATTGCGTAGATCGGGGCTCATGATGTCAATCCCTGATTGTCTGGTCCCCACTCGATTATTAACACACCGCTGTCATACAGCTGGAATTATTGCTGAGTGTGACCTTAAACAAACAAACAAATAGATCCATGTCATCCTAGATATATTACAGCAAGTGACCATATTACTAACCATATAACCAGAGCATCATGGTATCCGAAGAAAATTCGCGAAATTCGATATCGACATGTCCTCTCAAAACGAAGAAAGGGTTCTATCACTAGGTCCACGCGAGAGTATGTCTCGTAAACTTGCCTAGCCCTACGCCTATTGTTAGCACCACCGAGTAGACCGAGCCACCCACCAACTCGCACCCTAATTAAGTCATGGCCCTGTGGGCAACGAGGGCAACACTTACCTGGTATACTACGTACGTAACACCAATATAATGCCACGCGAAGCCATATATATATAAAGGCTACACAATCCGCGTATGTTCGCAGAGCCCTGGCTCTTCCGCTCTTCCTTTCCTAGCTCATGTTGACATTTTGATAAAAAAAAAACAACATGCACCGTGCTTTGATTCCGAAACGAAATTTAAATTGGCAACACAGTCGGTGGTGGTAAAAGCCCCCAGCGCAACGAAGCCGATGGAGTACCTCACCCCTACATTCGCCGTACCAGTTTATTTTCGCGTTCGTAGCTCAACTCTACCTAATAGTGCCGATGCAATAAATGAACTATAGTTAACGACATTGCACATAAGCATTACTTACCAATTTCAGTGTTTTTCCTTTTGGGCAGATTTCTTGAAGAAAGATGTCTGCCTTGACTGTTGATGACGTTGGTAAGATCTGTAATAGGGTAGCAACATGTTCAGTGAATATGTTCATAAAGAAACCATGATCCAAACAGAAGGCAAAGGTTCTTCAAGATATTTACAGTGTTTGGTGTACAAAAATAGAATAAAATGCCTTACCCATGTCAACGTTGTTGAAGCAGAGCTGGTGAACCCTCCTCAAGGCATCCAGAGCTTCTCAGTGCGACCAGAACTTGGGTTTTCGATGTGATTTACCGACTTGTTGAATAGTTATCGTTTGATCGTCTGACAGAACGTTCTCGACGATTTAACGATATTTAACGATACCTGATTAGGGTTAAATCTATATATACCATTTTTATGGTCGGGCGTCCACGGCTGATTGGTATATCAAATCAAACACAAGGGTGCATATCATGCCCCTGATTGTTCACGCCTCACTGGGTGGCCACGTAATAAGGTGTGGCACCAGCATCTCGGGTTACAATTTGATATTAATTCAAGTACTCCACTGATAATGTACATAGGTAGTTAACTTAATGTACATAGGTAGTTAACTTAATTACATTCAGTTTTGTCCGACAAGGAGCGAGTTTACTTTTTTTTAGACACAGACTTTGTAACAGGCTCTTCCCCTGGAAACACATATATTGTAAATAAATATTTTGCCGTTTCCATCAACCATATCACGTGATGTTCTATAACTGTTGTCTTGTACACTATCCATAGTGTAAGTCAGCTGGCTCGAGGAATTTTCATATAGTATTATCATTAAACAACATACCCTATGCAACAGTTATGTTGCTACCCAGACAAAACTATTTTTATATTCTATGTTAAATGTAAACGATCAGTTTTAATTATAATACAAAACCACCTTTTAAGCGGTAATACCTATCACGCATTAAACAACATATATGAACAACCATGTGATTATAAAGTCTCACGTTGGTTCCTCCGTGCAACTTCATGCCTGACTTACATTCATATTGTTCTTTCACCACACTTACGCTTCTCCAAATTTAGAAAGAAGCTGTGTACACAGTGTTCTTGCGAGTTACAATAACGCGTCCGGTTTGGCGGCAACTTCAAAGAGTGGACATATGGTTGCTCCTTCAGGTAGCTATAATTACCCTCTCTATAATGCAATATCGTATTATCCATTTGTAATGAATGATAGTAACACTAAATCGGATTGGATTCAGTTAAATCTACATTTCTCAAGGTCTCTAACATCGAGATTTGAAATATCTTTCATGTAAATACCTTCTTTGTCATGTGACTTGTATATATTCGTGTATATTCAGAATCGTACCTACGCACAATGTCTTTGAACAATGGCACAAGCAACGTGGTCTCTTTCTGTAAAACATAGCACTCCTTATTTCAGCCACAGCAAAGATCCCGAACCACGTGCAGTCAGCAGAGTTACAGCGTCTGGTTACCGTCTTGCAGGTACGATACAGGTAAGACGTCAAAATATTTATTGTTTTATTTCTGGAAACGCCGACCCTAGAACGTGGAATTTTGGTAACACGGTTATTTCATATAACAACAACCAAATAACAACCTGTACTCCAAACAGTGAATGTGTGGCTCTGCTGCCATGCGAAATGCGTTTTGTAAGAGTCTAATTTTAGTGTATTTATTTCTACCACTTTTGATATGGAGATATCTCCATCCCCTATGGTGTTATTGCGACTTGTATACTGTCTACATGTACATTAGGCAACTTATTGTAGCTGTATGGCGACACTTGTAGTGTAGCTATGTGACCATGAATTTGCCTGTGGTGATCAGTGAAAGTGAAAACACGGAAAATTACAAAATACCAATCCATGCAGTAATTTACATGCGAGTTTTCTATTATTTATAACGTTAGAAATATTTAGATAAAAATAACTTTATAGACACAATGTTTATCAATATAACAAATTGTTGTATTAATGTTTTCCTAAAATAAACATAGAGAGAGAGAGAGAGAATATTGTTTATTAAAGTGTCACATGTTATATACACTTCGTAATACGATATATACAAAACAGTAAAATATAACATCCGGCCAAATATGACCTACGAGACACTATAAAACATATCAATCATAAAACTATTCAGTTGAAACAGAATAAAACATACATACCTCGTGATGCAGGCGCGGAGCACGGCCGTGGGCGGTTTCAGTGAAGAGCGCACCAGTATGCCAGGATACAGGGCAACTGACTTCGAAAGTCCTTAGTTAAACAGTGCGCTCCCCCTTAACTCCCCCCACAGCGTTGCGCCGCCCACACACCACGTCATACATACATACATACATACATACATACATACATACATACATACATACATACATACATACATACATACATACATACATACATACATACATACATACATACATACATACATACATACAAGTCATACATACATACTTGGCTTAAAATGAAATTGCCTTCTTTTAACCATGTTGTAAATTGATTTGGCTAAAATACATTGGAGCGATTCTTCGTTCATAATAAAAATAAACTTTTCTAAACTACTCATATAATGAAATGTTTTATCTACAGAAGTTGCTTCTTTAGCTAAGTTGTATCTTAAATCATCATAAAATGGACATTCTATTAAAAAGTGACATTCATCTTCAACATAATTTACATGATCATTAGTAGGATTGGCGTGACAATATTTACAAGTCCTATCCAACAGTGGGGTAGGTGGCTTGGCGTAGCGGCCGGTCTCAACATGTAAAGGTAAAATACCACATCGAAAGGATGCTAAAAGTCTTCGATGATCTCTAAAACGTACATGACATAAATAAGGCTCAGCAGTAGGTGATGATTTGTACATTCTGTATGTGCGTAATTTATTGCCATTTGGATTATTCTTGTCATTCCATAGCGCAGTATACCACATATCACAATCTTCAGCAGTTAAGAAACACTTTACACGGTCAACACACTGTTTAATGCTGTATCCACAATAAGGTAAATTTGACAAATTATAGTGAGCTAAAATGTTTACGATTTTTTTATCCCAGGATTGTGATCGGATTTTGGACCAATTATGAATGATAAGAGGGAGATGATGGGCCTGCATATTCTGAATTCTAAAATATAATCTAAAGCATTCAACGTGCTGTGACACTTTCACAGAACACCAGCCCATGTCCCCCCTCATAGCAGTAACTGGGGCATTTTTTCTTACATATCATATATCATGACATATATATCATCTTTTCTTATTGCCCCATCAAAGCTGGTGCTGAGACAATTTAGAATACCCAAACGACGCATATTGTACGTACCGTGCCGCCAGACCTCCTGCCAACTTGGCAATTAAATATCCTCGGGTATTGTCACTTCATACGGTGATACATTGTCTCGCGCACGTGGTCGGTGGGTTTTGTCTATCAGCGCCACGATCACGTAAAAGGGGGTAAAGGCGGGTGTTGGTTGTTCACAGGGTTACTCGACAATCACAATGTATACCGGTATTTCAATAATTGTATGATATATTTAGTCCTTGGGCAGCCCCAATCTAAAAACAACAATAAAATCCTAACTCTCACCGTCTCCCTTAGTGGACTAAAAGCCCTCCAAAACAAAAATACCCAAAAACGACCTAAATTAATAAACCAAATACTTAAAAGCTCCGACGACCTAACAAAAGCAGGTAAACAAATAACCTTCTTGTGGATCCCCGCCCACGTAGGAATTTACGGCAACGAAAGCGCCGATAAAGCAGCTAAATTATCTCTCAAAATACCAGTAATAAGCCTAAACCTACCCATCTCAAAATCAGAAATTAAAAGTGTAAACAAACAAAAAATAACCAAAAAATGGCATAATCAATATCACAACTCAAATAGCCAAATCAAAAAAGTGCTCAGAAAACCACTAACCAAAACCTAAAATCCTACACCTCTCTAAAAGAATTGACAGATTTATTACAAAACTCCAAACAGGACACACGAACCTAAATAACCACCTAAAAAGGCAACTGCCCCCACTGCAAACAACCCGAAACCACAGAACACGCACTCATCCACTGCATCCACCACCAAACAAACAGAACCACACTACAAACCACCCTCAATCTAAATAGGTTCCTACTCTAGATGAAATACTAAACCCTCAAAATAAACTAGAAAACTTCAAGGCCCTAGGCGTATTCCTAATCAAAACAGACCTAATTAAGCGCATCTAAAATCTAATTATTCTACCAATCCAAAATCCAATAAACATACAAACACCCACCTCACCCGGCTCCCTTAGTTCCCTCCTCCACCCACCTCGGCATTTATTCCAAATTTAAAAATTCCAAAACTTCAATATAAGCAACCCCTAAAAGCCCCCTCTTGGGTTGCACACATCACTTTCACCCTTTTCGGAATACAATAAATGGTCCGGCCAGGCCCGTGTGCGAAATACGCTACAGTCGGAAAGCGCACGTTAAATCTCCTATATCAGTCAGTCAGACCCCAGTGTTTCATATCATTTTCCCACCAAACTAAAAAAGAATAACCCCCAACTGGATATGTTTCGTTTCGTCTGTCGATTCATATTTTGGAAATTCAAGGGGAACCACTCCGGCTTATGCAGCACACACATTTGGGAAGGTTGCTTCAATAATAATAATACTTCTTACCATGGTTTCACAGTCGTTCGGAACTTTTTTAAGATCTGATACCAGATTATGCTGTCCGAAAATTTATCTATTTTTTTTTTAGTGGAGACAGGCCTATCGGAAATTCGAACTTGAACAGCAACGCCAAAACCACATTCCGCCGCAGTGACCAGCTGCTGATGACATAGACTAGGCTAGCTTTACACTAAGTCTTGTACCAGGCTGGCCCCTCTGGGTAGTAGGTCTGGTCTCTCCTTTGTCCTTGGACCCCCTTTCCGATCATAAGGGTTGAGTACCCCTTGCCAATGAAACACGTGTTTACCATCCTTTTACCTTAGAGCACCCATTTACGACACATGGGGTTAGTTTTGAGTTCGGTTATGGTTTAGAAGTCTCTTGATATAAACATATTTATTTCCATAAAGTGGAGGGATTGGCAAACAAGCAAATTTTGCTTATCTGAATGCCTCTCCCAAACATGATACATAAGTCTCTTTTAACGAATTAATCCAATGTAATTTTCGCAGTATACTCATCCTTATATAATTTCAGCTTCATGACAGTGTGAACATTGAGTGCCCCCTACACAAGTATGCAGTCACTGACAACTTATGGAGTGACCTATACAAAACGGAAGATGCAGACGACTAGTACAAGCACGTACGCACACACACACTCACACGCACGCACGCACATGCTATATAAGTGCAATTATCTTGGACTAGACATTCAACCCAATTTCAACTCACCTCACTTATGTTACTTTGTTCATGTGCCTAAAGCTTGTGGAATGTGTTAATTACTGAAATAAAAAGCATTTTAATGTTTTTTTCATATCTTTTCAGAATATGTGCACATAGCTTTCAATGACCAGACGAAAAAAAGAATTCATTTCAAGTATGTTGAGAAGAAAACGTAAGTAAAGCACACTATTTACATTCATAATACATTTTTCCGCAGGCTCTATTGTAAAGTTAAACTCTAGCTGCGTATAGGCTGCCATTATCCATTATATTAGACAATATGGATCCACTCATCTATACATCTATTTTCTTTTGTGACAGGACCCATCTCTGAAAAAAACACCTCACCCAAGAAAATACGACTCATTCATGAGAATGAAAAGTGCAAAGTCTCCCAAGGAATTTTCTTGTAATATAGCATGTGAATAAATAATTTTTTGAAATATCTCACGAAATTAGTTTTATTTTATTGCTTGTAATCATGTGAACTAAAAATGTTTGTTTTGAGGAAAAAGGTCATTTGAAGCAACTCCAGGTTAAACTATCCAATGATTGAATCTTATTTCTCCTGAATTAAAATAATTCTGCTAAATATTACTGCAGAAAAAAATTCGGCCAGAAATTTCTGTAGAAAAAAGAAAATTCGGCCAGAAATTTCTGTAGAAAAAAAAATACTGCCAGAAATTTCTGCAGAAAAAGAAAATTCGGCCAGAAATTTCTGCAGAAAAAAAAAATTCGGCCAGAAATTTCTGCAGTAATGCATTTTCTGAGCCAATTTTTGAGCTTATGAACATGTGAACACACCGGGACACACATTATTTGGATTCGTCTCCTCGAGAGCTTTCCAGTGATATAAAACATGTTTTTGTAGCTCGCTTCCTTCTGTGTGGTCAAGTTCGGACTCCTGGCCATTCCTAAGTTGTCCCGCCCTGCCTTAAATCTCCGCTCGATTGCTTAAATAATTAGCTTATTGTTGTGCGTGAGTGAGTTGGGAGATAAACATACATTTTCAATGCAGATCCAGGTTACCTGTAAAAATAACCGCGATAAATTTAATTTGGAACCGAACGCGCGGCGTAAGGTTTCAAATGTTAAATTTATGTCACGGCTGTCAACACAATAGGTAAAGTAACCCTGTAGTGATGTAGGTCTCAGACGTTTACGACTTTCTCCAGATTCTCCCCGATTATATCTTGTGAGGGTCATGCCCGTTTTTGTGGGTTTTAGAAAACAGGTTTTTACCTGCGTCACTTTGACTTTCACCCGTGGAGATCCGGGGTAGAATGGGTCTTCAATAACCCATGCTTGCCGTAAAAGATGACAATGCTTGTCGTAAGAAGCGAGTAACGGGATCGGGTGGTCAGGCTCGCTGACTTGGTTTGATGCATGTCATTGTATCAAAATTGCGTGGATCGATGCTCATGATATCAATCACTAGTTTGTCTGGTCCAGACTCGATTATTTACAGACCGTCGTCATGTAGCTGGAATACTGCTGAGTGCGGCGTTAAACAACAAACAAACACTTTGACTTTCTCTCACTTTGCTGAGCTGACAACAGCTGAACTGTTGTTTAAATCCGAGCTCAGTCACTCACACAATGAAAAGTTATGTTTGCAGTTTACTTACTTTCCCTTGAAGTAGATAATTTCCTGAAACGAAAAGACGACCATGAGATTGTGCCTATGAACAGTAAATCAATACCAAGAGTGAAAGAGTGAGTGTGATTTTTCGCCGCTTTTAGCAATATACCAGCAATATCACGGCAGGGGACACCAGAAATGGGCTTCACACATTGTAGCCATGTGGCGAATCGAACCCGGGTCTTCGGCGTGACGAGCAAACGCTTAAACCACTAGGCTACCCTACCGCCCCGTCCAGTACCTAAATAACTTCACAATATTTGTAAATGTTTGATGGAAATAATGTACTACGATATCTACAATAGCTTGTGGGGGTGATTGTCTGTAGTGTAACGCAGCATTCAAATATTCAAGGTATATAACGACGGTCTGTCAATAATCGAATACAATCTTTTATTTGAGCGTCGGAGCCGTGAAGACCCGGGGTAGAACGCGTCTTCAGCCACCCATGCTTGCCATAAAAGGCGACTGTGCTTATCGTAAGCGTCAACTAACGGGATCGGGTGGTCAGGCTCGCTGACTTGGTAGGTACATGTCAACAAACAAACCAACCAACATGAGCGTCGATCCACGCATTTGGGATACCGAACCTGAACACCCGATCTGTTTAGAAACACAACCAGGGTGAACTGGGATTCGAACCCTCGTTCACATGATAACCGTGAAGATTAGGGGTAGAAAAGGTCTTCAGCAACCCATGCTTGCCGTGAAAGGTGACTATGCTTGTCGTAAAAGGCGACTAACGGGATCGGGTGGTCAGGCTCGCTGACTTGGTTGATGCATGTCATCGATCCCAATTGCGTGGGTCGATGTTCATGATATTAATCACTGGATTGTCTGGTCCAGACTCAATTATTTACAGACCGCCGCCATATGGCTGGAATATTGTCGAGTGCGGCATTAAACAACAAACCAAACCAAATCGTTCACATGTTTCTGTCACGTCCGAGAGACGCAGTTCCACGCTGCCGTAGAGTGATTGCGTGAGTTGGATTGTACGCCGCTTTCATTAATATCACGGCGGGGGACACGGAAATATGCTTCATACATGTGTGGGGATTCGAACCCGGGCCTTCGATGTGACGAGCAAGCGCTTTTACCATCAGGCTAACTCACCGCCCGCGGTGCCAAGGACGTCTGCACCACCCGCGTTTTAGAGAGCCTTGTTGTTATAGAATGGAATGGAAATTAATTGCTCAAAAATTCAAATTGCTAAAAGTGTTGTAATACTATTCATTGACTCAATCACTCACTATAACACTTACGAGTGAGTTAGAGAGTAAGGTTTTACGCCGCTTTTAGCAATATTCAAGCAATATCACGGCGGGGGACACCAGAAATGGGCTTCACACATTGTACCCATGTCGGGAATCGAACCCGGGTCTTCGGCGTGACGAGCGAACGCTTTAACCACTAGGCTACCCGACCGCCCCGTAACACTTACGATATCGTTGTCAGCGAGATCCATCCATCCGATCGTTGCTGTCTCGTTATCGCTCTTCGGTCCCTTGTCGCCATCTTCCTGAAATTGTAAAATCTAACAGTGATTACAGATATTCAGTTTCGTAATTTGGTATTGTTTCCACGTTCCATGTCGTAGGTGAGTGAGTGAGTATGGTTTTATGCCGCTTTTATCAATATTCCAGCAATATTACGGCAGGGGCACCAGAATGGGCTTCACGCATTGTACCCATGTGGGGAAACGTATTCGTTCATTCGGCCAGACAGGCGAACGCTTTAACCACTAGGCTACCGCCACCCCGCACCACCCAATTACACACAGGTCGTGATCGTGGTATGCAGTGGCCCTTCAGAAGCAGCCCGCGTAATTCCATGCGTGAGTGAATGAATAAATGGTGTTTTATGCCGCAGCCAGATACATTTTAGCAACATTACTGCAGTCTGTAAATAGTGCAGTGACTGAAAACATGAGCACTGAAAACATGAGCACTGAAAAAATTAGCACTGAAAACATGAGCACTGAAAACATGAGCACTGAAAACATTAGCACTGATCCAAGCCATCATGGAAAGTGACGTGCCACAAGCCAAGTCGCAGAGCCTGCATGGCCGCTCATTTTAGTATGCTCTTCATCAGAACTGGGGTCCAATTCTTTCCTGGAATTTCTAGGGTGATTTTACGTCAGCTTATGTCAGTTTCAATGTCCCATGAACTTGCAGCTACAATGAATAAATGGTGAGGTGAAATGGGGTTTAACGTCGCCTTCAAGGTTTATGTGCTTGTGAAGCATGCACGTGTGTGTGTGTGTCCGTCTGTGTGTGTGTCCGTCTGTGTTTGTGTCTGTTTGTGCTAGTCCGAACTAATGCCTATTTTAAAGTGCTAGACCCTAAGATACCATGCCGCAGTTTAACGTGAATACACGACTCAGACAGTAGACTGACTCCGAGCCGACCAGCCACTAAGCAACAAGTACCATTTTTTAACGTCTTTTGGTATGACTCAGCCGAGTTCATGTATTATAAGTATGTGCAAAACTACGTGGAATGTAAAGGATTCTGAATTGGTTTTCTATGTTACGGACACCTGTAAATAATCAGATTTCTTTACTTGACAAGACACTGGTAGGCGACAATGTCAAACAAGACAGTGGTAGGCTACGATGTCACTTAAAACAGTGTTGGCTACAATGTCACACATGACAGTGGTAGGCTACAATGTCACACAAGACAGTGGTAGGCTACAGTATCACACAATACAATGGTAGGCTACAATGTCACACAAGTCAGTGTAGGCTACAGTATCACACAAAACAATGGTAGGCTAGAGTATCACACAAAACAATGGTAGGCTACAATGTCACACAAGACGGTGTAGGCTACAGTATCACACAAAACAATGGTATGCTACAATGTCACACAAGTCAGTGTAGACTACAATATCACACAAAACAATGGTAGGCTACAATATCACACAAGACAGTGTAGGCTACAATATCAGACACGACAGTGAAAGCTGCAGAGTCACACAAGACAGTGGTAGGCTACAGTGTCAGATAAAACTGTGGTACGCTACAATGTCACACAAGACAGTGGTATGCTACAATGTCACACAAGTCAGTGTAGACTACAATATCACACAAAACAATGGTAGGCTACAATATCACACAAGACGGTGTAGGCTACAGTATCACACAAAACAATGGTATGCTACAATGTCACACAAGACAGTGGTAGGCCACAATATCACACAAGACAGTGGTAGGCTACAATGTCACACAAGACAGTGGTAGGCTACAATGTCACACAAGACAGTGGTAGGCTACAGTATCACACAAGACAGTGGTAGGCTACAGTATCACACAAGAAAGTGGTAGGCTACAGTACCACACAAAACAGTGGTAGGCTACAATGTCACACAAGACAGTGGTAGGCTACAATGTCACACAAGACAGTGTAGGCTACACTATCACACAAGACAGTGGTAGGCTACAGTATCACACAAGACAGTGGTAGGCTACAGTATCACACAAGACAGTTGTAGGCTACAGTACCACACAAAACAGTGGTAGGCTACAATGTCACACAAGACAGTGGTAGGCTACAATATCACACAAGACAGTGGTAGGCTACAGTATCACACAAGACAGTGGTAGGCTACAGTATCACACAAGACAGTGGTAGGCTACAATATCACACAAGACAGTGGTAGGCTACAGTACCACACCAAACAGTGGTAGGCTACAATGTCACACAAGACAGTGGTAGGCTACAATATCACACAAGACAGTGGTAGGCTACAGTATCACACAAGACAGTGGTAGGCTACATCATCACACAAGACAGTGGTAGGCTACAGTACCACACAAAACAGTGGTAGGCTACAATGTCACACAAGACAGTGGTAGGCTACAATGTCACACAAGACAGTGTAGGCTACACTATCACACAAGACAGTGGTAGGCTACAATATCACACAAGACAGTGGTAGGCTACAGTATCACACAAGACAGTGGTGGGCTACAATATCACACAAGACAGTGGTAGGCTACAATGTCAAACAAAACAGTGGTAGGCTACAATGTCACACAAGACAGTGGTAGGCTACAGTACCACACAAAACAGTGGAAGGCTACAGTATCACACAAGACAGTGGTGGGCTACAATATCACACAAGACAGTGGTAGGCTACAATGTCAAACAAAACAGTGGTAGGCTACAATGTCACACAAGACAGTGGTAGGCTACAATACCACACACAACAGTGGTAGGCTACAGTACCACACAAGACAGTGGTAGGCTACAATATCACACAAGACAGTGGTAGGCTACAGTATCACACAAGACAGTGGTAGGCTACAGTATCACACAAGACAGTGGTAGGCTACAATGTCACACAAGACAGTGGTAGCTACAATATCACACAAGACAGAGGTAGGCTACACTACCACACAAAACAGTGGTAGGCTACAGTATCACACAAGACAGTGGTAGGCTACAGTATCACACAAGACAGTGGTAGGCTACAATATCAAACAAGACAGTGGTAGGCTACAATATCACACAAGACAGTGGTAGGCTAAAGTATCACACAAGACAGTGGTAGGCTACAGTACCACACAAAACAGTGGTAGGCTACAATGTCACACAAGACAGAGGTAGACTACAATGTCACACAAGAGAGTGGTAGGCTACAATGTCACACAAGACAGTGGTATGCTACAATGTCACACAAGACAGTGGTAGGCTACAATATCACACAAGACAGTGGTAGGCTACAGTACCACAAAAAACAGTGGTAGGCTACAATGTCACACAAGACAGTGGTAGGCTACAGTATCACACAGTGGTGGGCTACAATATCACACAAGACAGTGGTAGGCTACAGTATCACACAAGACAGTGGTAGGCTAAAGTATCACACAAGACAGTGGTAGCCTAAAGTACCACACAAAACAGTGGTAGGCTACAATGTCACACAAGACAGAGGTAGACTACAATGTCACACAAGAGAGTGGTAGGCTACAATGTCACACAAGACAGTGGTATGCTACAATGTCACACAAAACAGTGGTAGGCTACAATGTCACACAAGACAGAGGTAGACTACAATGTCACACAAGAGAGTGGTAGGCTACAATGTCACACAAGACAGTGGTATGCTACAATGTCACACAAGACAGTGGTAGGCTACAGTACCACTAAAAACAGTGGTAGGCTACAATGTCACACAAGACAGTGTAGGCTACAATATCAGACACGACAGAGAAAGCTGCAGAGTCACACAAGACGGTGGTAGGCTACAGTGTCAGACAAAACTGTGGTACGCTACAATGTCACACAAGACAGTGGTAGGCTACAATGTCACACAAGACAATGGTAGGCCACAATATCACACAAGACAGTGGTAGGCTACAATGTCACACAAGACAGTGGTAGGCTACAATGTCACACAAGACAGTGTAGCAACAATATCACACGAGACAGTGGTAGGCTACAATGTCACACAAGACAGTGGTAGGCTACAATATCACACAAGACAGTGGTAGGCTACAGTATCACACAGTGGTGGGCTACAATATCACACAAGACAGTGGTAGGCTACAATATCACACAAGACAGTGGTAGGCTACAGTACCACACCAAACATCGTAGGCTACAATGTCACACAAGACAGTGGTAGGCTACAATATCACACAAGACAGTGGTAGGCTACACTATCACACAAAACAGTGGAAGGCTACAGTATCACACAAGATAGTGGTGGGCTACAATATCACACAAGACAGTGGTAGGTTACAGTATCACACAAAACAGTGGTAGGCTACAATGTCGCACAAGACAGTGGTAGGCTACAGTACCACACACAACAGTGGTAGGCTACAGTATCACACAAGACAGTGGTAGGCTACAATATCACACAAGACAGTGGTAGGCTACAGTATCACACAAGACAGTGGTTGGCTACAGTATCACACAAGACAGTGGTAGGCTACAATGTCACACAAGACAGTGGTAGGCTACAATATCAAACAAGACAGTGGTAGGCTACACTATCACACAAGACAGTGGTAGGCTACAATGTCACACAAGACAGTGGTAGGCTACAATATCAAACAAGACAGTGGTAGGCTACAGTACCACACAAAACAGTGGTAGGCTACAGTATCACACAAGACAGTGATAGGCTACAGTATCACACAAGACAGTGGTAGGCTACAATATCAAACAAGACAGTGGTAGGCTACAGTATCACACAAGACAGTGATAGGCTACAGTATCACACAAGACAGTGGTAGGCTACAATATCAAACAAGACAGTGGTAGGCTACAGTATCACACAAGACAGTGGTAGGCTAAAGTATCACACAAGACAGTGGTAGCCTACAGTAGCACACAAAACAGTGGTAGGCTACAATGTCACACAAGACAGTGGTAGACTACAATGTCACACAAGAGAGTGGTAGGCTACAATGTCACACAAGACAGTGGTATGCTACAATGTCACACAAGACAGTGGTAGGCTACAATATCACACAAGACAGTGGTAGGCTACAGTATCACA